TTTAATAATGACAAATGAGTCATGTGAACATTCGAACCAAATACACGCCGTGATGGCACTAGCAAAAGTAAGCGTTGTAATGTAGATTATTTTGAAGTGGCTACAGTATACTGCCCAATTATTAAGGTAAAGCATATAGTTTAGTGTTCTTGCAATTCGCCATAGGTCCTAATAGGATGTCAAGTTTATGGATATTTGGTAATCCACAAAAACGCGATTTTGTTCATCAATTGCATGAGGCGGTAGCAACCGATGGTTAGAGACGTTGAATGACATGGCTCAAAATCGTTTGCAGTGGCACAGATGTATCCACTTTTTGTGTTCTCCCAAATTCTTATCTTCTGAACTCTTCATGTCCCCTATTTTTTCTCTTTCCGAATTTATTTCACTGGATTGTACTTCTTGAATAGCATCTTCAAACCCGAATCTTTCCGATTACTGCTTATACTCTTACTACCTCTACCACTATGGGATTCGAATTGGCAATTGTATCTCTGTGCTAATGTGGTATGGCAACTTGAACTGATGTACGTACGTACGAACTTCTACGTTGTTGCCGACTAACTGACTCATCATTTGCCACAAGTAGAACCTCATCCTTATATGTAAAGATACATCTCACATTTTGATGAAAAAGAAACCTCTTTTACCTATTGTTTCGGGAGAGAAATTGATAGCTCTAAATTCATTAAAGTAGAAGAAACAGTTGTAATTATAAAAGCCGATAAAAGTAATATAACAGTGTTCGTGAAGTAAGTCTTGATTCCAAAAAAGAAATCACCAAATAGTTATAAAGTAAGCTAAATTAGAGAAAAGTTAACTTTTAAAACAACTGAAGCGTTTTAATTGAGATCATGAACCAATTAAAAACCTGGAAGCACTGGGTCTTGCGAGCGGGATCATGGATGCGCACCTCTGAGGAGTCCCACAATAGGACGAAACGGTCGTCCAGTGGTCTAACATCAATCGAGTCATAATCTCAATCAAAAACTTAACAAACCCTATAACCCTATACTCATAAAGCGTTTTTATCGGCGTCTCCTTGTGGTTTATTTCATTTGCCTAATCTAATCATTCCACTCTTACCGATTCTAAACAGTGCAACCCATACTTTTATGCCAGATCAAATACTTGTAACTATATTACGTTATAGACAAGTCATCGAACTACTGCACTACATAATCCTTGAGGGTTACAGTTTCCATTAATATATTTATCAACCATACAATAAAGACATTTTTACCTTTCATCTGATGTAATTTCGTTCATTTTTACATATTTGCAGCGAATCAATCAAGATTTTGTTCAATGGCGCAGGGATAAGTCAACATATATAGAAGCCGATGAATTTGCAGTTATGCTGTGTTTACTCAGGTATGACATATTGAAAAATCATCCCATTTATCATGCTTTGTTTTGCTTGTAAACAATGAGTTCGTATTGTTAGCAATCAAAGGTTGACATTTAATTTTCTCTATTATGATGTATAGTGCTGTAATCAGTTGAGATGGCTGGGACATGTGTTACGTATGCCCAACCACCGACTGCCTCGACGTGCGATGTTCAGTGGTATAGGAGTAGGTTGGAAGAAAGCTACGAGCGGCCAGACCAAAACATGGCACAAATCCATGAAGTCACTGACAAGTGGACTGAGTCATGTTGATACGTTTAGACTACCTGGTTGGGGACCGCGAGATGATAGCAACCGATGGTTAGAGACCCTAAATGACATGGCTCAAAATCGTTTGCAATGGAACATATGCATCCGCTCTTTGTGTTCTCCCAAATTTTGATCTCCTTATTCCTCCTTGTCTCTTTTTTCTTCTCCTCTCAAATTTATTTCACTGTATTATACTCTTTAAGTAACATCTCCAAACACTAATCTTCGTGATTACTGCTTATACTCTTATTACTTCGAATAAACATTTGCAGTTTATGACTGAGTCATGTTGGTAGGTGTAGACTACCTGGTTGGGGACCGCGAGATGATAGCAACCGATGGTTAGAGACCCTGAATGACATGGCTCATAATCGTTTACAATGGCGCAGATGCATCCACTCTTTGTGTTCTCCCAAATTCTAATCTTCTGATTTCTTCATGTCCCTTTCTTTTTCTCTTTCCAAATTTATTTCACTGGATTATACTCCTTGAATAACATCTTCAAACCCTATTTTTTCTGATTACAGCCTATAATTTTACTACATCTAGCACTACGGGATTTGAATCGACCACTGCATCTCTGTGCTACTGTGGTGTGGCAACTCGAACTGATGTACTTACGAACGAAGTTCCACGTTGTTACTGACTGACTGACTGAATGCTGTAATCCTACTCATCCGAACAAAGTCCCTATCATTGGAATTGTCAAACTCAAGTTGATGTTTGTCTGGGCTGTCCACTTTTACTTAACTTTGTCCTAGGCATCTCATTACAGATAACACTCTTACTATCTAGCTTTTTGCGAGCTGACTTCTTCCGAAATCCACTTATTGACTTAGTATACGCAGATAATATAGTTTGATTTGATAACAACTCTGGAAAAAGTTTCCTGATTGTCTTACGCAACAATCCAAGCATGTTTGGCTGTCCTCAACAATTGTAATCTAATCTAACATGATACGTAATGTCCTCCACAGTTGAAGTGGTTCTTTTTCTTCATACAAACGTTTAACTGATAGATATCAATTCCTAAATTTAATATATCCAAATGATTTTTAAAATTATTTAGATTTCATTGTCTAACTTATGGATTGCAATCTCCCACTCTTGAACATTGGTTACATATTGTTGAATTGGAATCAAAACGAAAGTCAAGAATTGCGTTATCCAAATTGCAAACCTCATAGTACTTAACAAGAATGCAAAAATGTAAAAAGAAGTTAGATTTAATTATTGTTCGTGTTATTTTTTGATTAATAAAGTTCCTCTGTTACTGTTTATTTATTTAAACATATAAACATTGGTATAAGAAGGCACCAAATAGATATGCGCCACGTGAATCATTCGATTTGTGTGAGGGCTAATACACCGCCCAAGTGCTCAGACTGAGGCAGGTGGTTTTCTTAGAAGGCCACGCCGCGATCTTTGACCTAGAAGCCTAATCCACAAGGCAGTGGAGAAACGTAAGGAGATGAAGTATCGTGGTAGCCGGTCACCAACAATTGGTTCATACGCCGTTGTTCCTTCCGGATCGTGGAGCCCATGTGTACCACTGATTTAGAATCAGGATTTTCCAACTCCTCTTTGTAGTACCTTCATATCTACCAACCCGGTCTAAGTGCTTGACATTCGCTTTCTGTCCTCTCGATTTTGTAAACAAGTGATGCCGCGAGAAGACAGTGAGTAGGACTTGTGTGGCAGTGGATGTATGCACGTGGTCATGTAAGAGCATTTCGAGGGGGGGGAGTGAACTCCCCTACCCTCAGCCGTACCAGGGCATTTGGGGTCTGAGTCACGCTTTTCAAACAAACTAGCTTAACTGTCAAACAACAAAAACTTAAGTCTCGTGGGCTAGTTACAATACGATCACCAGGATTTTCGTCAGCACGAAAGACCAGGCGTTGTTGTATTGGTTTCTCTACACAGTTATCAGTTTGTTTAAGTCTTGATTCTATTAGGATAAAATCCAGACTCCCTCTTTGGGTAAGCATATCCTAAAAAGATATCGAGTGTCTGTGAGGCAAATCGATAGGAATTCACCATTGGGACGAGATGTGAAAATAATTTAAGTGGACCAAAGTAACTATTCCGATCTATATTTCCTACCTTGAGAATTACGAATTATGAGACAGTAGTAATGATCTCTAACCTAAGATGATGACAATAGCAGTTTGATATCCTCTAAAATTCTATGTTATATCGTAAATTGTCCAAATAAGTAACTGTCCGAACGTATTTCCACCTTGAAAAACTTTCATTTAGTTGATATCTTAGGCCAGCCGGACGCTTTTCTGCAAAAAGAGATACCCGTGTAGATGATGATCAACCTGTAAATGTACATGGGCTGTGAACATCATTATTCTGATTTTGGCAATAGTCCCATGCTGCAATATTGATCTTGATAGTGGCTGAGTTGACCACAACATAAGTATGAAAAAGGAAAGAATGCTTTGAATAATTAACCATCCATTCACTCGAACCATTATTTGGATCTAAGTATAAAAACAGCTTTCATATCGAGGGGTGTATAAGTCAGAACATGTGGTTGTATGATTAGTGTATCGAGTGAAGTCCACATTAAATCACCATTCCGTCTCATAAAAAGCAAGCCAAATTCGTTCTCACTACTATTTCATAACGTTGTTTTTCGGCTACATTAAGACAATTGATCCAACCAAGTAGGTAAGTTCGACCAATATAAACTAAGCCACCCGGTAATGTGACACGATATACTGTCAGATTCAGTCAACAGAGGTCATTAGGATTGTCAATTTAACAATTTAGTGTGTCCAACTTTAGCGCTGAACTTTATCTAAGAGGACAACACTTCTCGATATACTAAAAAAATGGGAGCTAAGTTCATGGGACTCCCGGCAGAATTAGTTCAGTCGGTCATTTATTAATAATCAATGTAGCGCCTGGCACAAACATGTGTTGACCAAAGTTGGTATTCCGCATGATAGTGAGAAAGACTATGGTTTGGAAGTATGATTCGATTAGACAGGACTGAAAGTTGTGTATTGCAAAATACTGACAGTTAAAATCTAAAAACAAGCAGAATAAATGCACCTGCACTACCGTGATTGATTCCAAGCCAAATCACTCAATGTTGTTAACCAAAAGACACAATAACTGCGCAAACCTCGATCAAACAATCTGCATTTACCAACTTGGCTTAGACCAGCGACCATATAGGCCGATATTATGTTTTGATTTAGCCTGGTCTAGTTTTCTTTAAAGCTTACTTCTACACCAGCTAACATTGCTTATCGAAGTAAACAATCCTCGAACATAACGCTAACAATTATCCGTAAACACCAAGTTTTCTATACAGTGAAAATTAATGTCTGAAGATATTATATTATAATGTTACTAAGGCAAAATACCCATTAACTATCTGGAATATATAAAAACATGTAGTAAAATAGTTTTATTGGAATAGTGATAAAAGTTTGATTTCATATTCTGGTAAGAGATCAATTGAAATTATTGGTTGCATTGCTTTCTCATATGCAATTAACAATTCTTGTCTGTGTTTCTATAGAGAGATGAATACATAAAAGAATATGAAAATACAATGGATACAAATAATATAGAATTAAAGGAATAGATATTTATGGTTCTCATTGTAAAATCCCGCTTTACCTACTTCACTGTATTATTATTTATTTAAACACAAATATTGGTACAAGGAGGCACCGAATAGGTATGCGACACACAAATCACTTGATTTGTATGCGGACTGTGGTACTCCCTAGGTGCCTAGACCGAAGCAGATTGTTTTCCTTAGAGGGCCACACCCGGAGCCTTGGACCTAAAGGTCTGATCCACAAGACAGTGGAGCAACGTCAGGAGATGCAGTCCTATGATAGACGGTGACCAACGATTGATTCGTACGCTATTTGTTCCTTCAAGTGACTGGAGCCCATGTGCGCCATTAGTTTGGAATCAGGGTTTTCCAACTCCTGTAGGTGGACAGTTCGTCTTCACCAGACCGGTTAAAGCACCGGACATTCGCTTTTCGTTCTCTCAATTTCGTAAACAACAGTAATGCCGCGAAAAGGCAGTGAGTAGGACTTGTGTGCCAGTGGTTGTATGCACGTGGTCATGTGAGAGCATTTCGAGAGGGAGTGGACTCCCTACCCTCCGTCGTACCTGAGCGTTTGGTGGCTAACAAATACGATATCATTGCCAGGATTTGAACCTGGGTTAGTGCGGCGGGAGCGCGGAATGCTACCATTACCCATCACACCCATAATGTGTCTCATACTTAGTAGATGGTGAATGAATATATAAACATATATTACCATGTGTCTTCCGAATGCATGTGAAGTTGATCAGAAATCGAGTTTAGACCAGTTACCTACTAATATACAGATTTATTCATCTACCTGTTAAACTGGATGAGTTTTTTTTTACAGAATTATAGCAATGACCTTAGTGCTTTGAAAACATTCAATAATAAAAGTTAGTAGTTCGAAATTGAGCTTTCGTCTGTACCAAGTGGTATATACTTAACAGTCAAACAATGATGAGGCCTTAACAGATGTTCTCAAAAGTTGTGTATGATTGTTGACTTGCACCAATTCATATCAAAAGACTGAGTTTGCTAATCAAGGGGCATGTATTCAGTTGGGGAATTAAAAAGCTGAAGATAAATACATGTCTTGTGTATTCTTAATTTTTGAAATGATTGTAGAGAATTTTCTTTAAAATCAAATTTACTAGTGAGCACTTGGGGTTCTTTGGCTTCAGAAATCGGATGTGGGTTTCGACGTTACCCCTAACAGTGTTTACTGACGACGTGAATTTACTGGATACTAAATGCTCTGCACAATAATTATAGTTTTTGCATGAGAGTCTTTACGATTGCAAATAAAATGTATACTGAGGGGAATTTTAAATAGAAATTAGTCTGACCGATGCATCAGGTTACCTGGGGTTATTAATAAACGTGGAAATTTTATTATTCCGATATCCTTGATCTGGATTTTTTTAATCATTATACATCAGTTAGTAAACTAGTCACGTTATATCATATACCGTTCCAACAATTTTCAGATCCCTTGTATCTTATTATTCAAGCAAAAAGAACACAACAAAGTAGGTTGATAAATACCCTATATTACATATTTTATAAAAAGTGCTCGTATATTACTCATATTTGATTATAGATACCGTCAAAGTATTACTAGCAATCCTCAGGTTAAATACATGGAATTGGATTAGGATAGTAAGTTACTTGATGAAGTAGTGGATATTTATCAACTGTAGTGGTCGGAAAATGTAGCACGTAAGTTCAACAACTTACTTCGACGTGGGATATTGACCAGATAAGGAATAGGTTGGAAGACTAATGACGGCTAAACCAAAACATGACATAAGACGGTCTATGAATTCATTGACTATTGGACTAGTCCATATTAATAGACGCAGATTCCTTGGCTGGGTTTAGCGCGATTATTGTAACCATTGGAGACATTAGGTAACATGACAGAATAGATCGCAACAGTACAGACGCATTCGTTGTTTTCCCTTAGATCATGAGTTTCCAAATTATTTTATACATTTAATCCCGTGGAGTTATTCATTCTTCTCTTTGAATTATATTGCTTATGTTCCCATATTTTCTATTACCAAAGGTGATGTTACTCCTTTTACTATTCTGATAAACCGCCTTAATGATTTTATCTCGCTGTGTTGACATTGTGTACAATTTGAACCGATACACATATGCATCAATTTCTTTGTTACTAATATGACTGATTGATTCATAATCAGGTGTTTCTCAAGAAATACACATTACTTAAGTTTCGTCGTCACTTCAAAAGTATTGCATTTAGAAAGAAAATCACAGTATATGGCAGAGTAGTGTAAACCATTCTACTTGACGACTATCTTTGGCTCTGGTAGACATAATATCATACAAATCATAAATTGTCAAGAATTATTTCAAAAAGTATAATTATCACATGCATACCTTGGCAATTGATGCTGATTCATTATTAACTTCTTCATTCATAGACTCTGATATTATAATTTGAAGACTGGTAGTAACACTATTATTCTCATCATCTGGAGGATTAGGCGTTGATTTACATGCATGTTGATGAAATTCCGATTTGATTGTCTCAGCATTTGGTAAAGTTCCATCATTGATTGGTGCATTAATACATTTTTTATTATTTTCACTACGCACATTTAACACCTAAATTTTTAAAAATTGCATCATAAGGAAAATGTTATATTTGGTAATTTTATAATACCAATCGTGACTCTCCCTGATGTGATAAATGTTAACGGAAAGTGTTAGTATAACTCATTTAGCAAGTAAGTGTGAGTATTCTGCTATGAGCTGCATTGTGTCGTGCAATACTGTAGAACAAGGCAATTGGCAGAAGTAATCAATGTTTAGTGTGAGAGATTGCAATGTACTTACATAATTCATAAATATAGCCTAAAGTCATCCGTTTGGATCTTGCGATGTGTTCTACAATGCAAATTGTCTCCGCTTCTGATCTTTAAGTGTTTTGTCTACGCCGTACTTTGGATGTACAGAAATCCTTTCCTCTGTCTGACTGGCAGCTCCGAGGTCAGATTCTACTTCATACTACTTGTGAGTAGCGTCCACCACAAAACCACAAGTGGGGCAGATTTTAGAAAGGTAGACAAGTGATTAAATGTCATATATTTTGATGATTGTCTGGCCTTATACCACGTGCATAAAATGAAACCGATAGATTCTATTATTCAAAGATTAACAACAACACTTGTTTCATAGTATTTTGATTGTCAAACCGAAATTAATGATTAAACAGAAAGAGGATATAACTAGATGTAACCTCTTGGCCCTGATTTTCGCTACATGTGTTATTTATTTGTATGAAATTAGTTAAACCGTACCAGTATGTTGATTATGATGCTAAAGTAGAATTTGGCGCGATTCGGACCAAAAAATCAAACCAAAACGGTGCTAACAATCCTATGTTAGTGCTATCATCACAGTTCTCAACATCATCGTTTATAGTTAGGTAACACATGGGAGGATCGTAAGATACTTTATAGCTAGAAATTTAGCCGATATTGGACACAGGGTTTATTTATAAACAGTTTTAACAGTGAATAGTAATGTTTCAACCAAATTAGACAAGTTTATTTTTGTATTAGTTGCTTGAATCGTCCCATTGATGTTTATGACTGCTAGCCACCATCATCTTAAATTAAGTAAGTTTAAAATGTGTTAGGAAGTTTGTGAAGTTCATTTTTTCACTCCAACATTGTGTTTAATAAAAGATAACTTATCCGTATGAATTCGTTCATTTTTATATAATCAGTATTAATTACTGACCGATCTTTTATTTCTAGAGTCATTCAGTTTATCGATTATATGCAACGCAGAACCTGACACATTTGTATCAGTTCAAGTTGCCACACCACATTGGTACATGAATAAAATTATCAAGACAAATGCCTGAGCAGTAGAATTAGTAACAGTATCAATGGTAGTCGAAAAGATTTGATGTAGAAAAAAGATTTCGAGATAGGTTTTAATATAAGACAAAGAGTGAATACACCTGCATCATTGTGAAAGATTTTTAGCCATATCATCCAAAGTCTTTAGCCACTGGTCTGAAAACTCCCGCAAACTCTAGACAAGTAGTCTGTACCTTTTTACATGGCTTAGCCCAGTTTCCAACGTCTTCATAGACAGGTATCACTTCTTGGCTTGTAGATTTCCAAGTGATATGTAGAAAACTAGACTAGGCTTCTGCTGTGGACGATTTTAATTAGTGGCTTTCCAAATGTTAAAACCAATTATTAGAATGCTGAGCAACAGGTGGACCCAATGACATAGATGTAGCCAAATGACGGCTACTCACGAGACCGTATAGTTGACTTGAACTCCCGACTGATTAAAAATCAAGACCACTACCCAGATGAATGGATTTTTCGTGTGATAAAATGCGATGCGTATACACAGAATGTGAGTACAAATAAACATGATCGGATATAATAGGCGATTGAAAGAAATCAGCCTATAGATCACTCACTACCCAATCAATTACAACCTGACTGTTAGGCATAAACTTTTAGGACTGTATCTGCTTCATAAGAACCGAAATAAAATTGCATTTAAGTTTTTGTAGCTTTTAAAAGCATATAAAAATCAGAAACAAAAAGGATCTAAATGAAATCAAGGTTGTTTTGTGATACATAGTCTGAGATAATTTACATAAAGAACGGATCAATCGATATTCTCAAAAATAATAATCAACAAACCCAACCATTAGTATCAGATTTCCTAAGAACATAATACAACTGAATCTCAGCTACCCTTTATTTTTGTTTGGCTGTGCAAGTACCAAATACATCACTAAGTTCTACACAGCAAACTATAACATTGAACGACACAACTCACCTCAATTGAAGAAAGTTGTAAGGATTCCTGAGAATGTAAGCAATCAGATTCTGATAAAATTCGAGAACACAAGTTCACATGAGATCTACTATGTTTTGGCTGAGTAAATGATGGTTTCGGTCGTTCCTCAGCTTGTAAAATCTTTGATTGTATACGAGGAGTAATACGAAATAATCCAGCTAAGAAATTGGGACCGTTTAAAATCAGTTCACGATTTAATGATTTTTCAATATTGATAACACAGTCCATGACCTTCAGGGAATGGCAGCAATTTTCCTTATCTGGACAATTCTTTATATGTACTCGACTAATCATTATTGTGTACTACTAAAAAGGAAAACAAAGTTACTAAATATGTGACTACAAGGAATTAACTGGTTCCTCCATAAATTATAGTTTCACCTGCAAAGTCTAATAGAGTTTGACACCGTTACTTAATGTTCATTTAAAACGGTCTGCTGAAGAGACAGTGACTAAAGCAGATATGTAGTTAGTGAGGATTTGATACGTGATGATAAAAAAATGTAATCGTAACTGTGTGTTCGCTCGTTAAGAAGAAATCTTTCCAGAATATAATTGTGGGTTCAGTCAGTCAGTCAGTAACAACGTAGAACTTCGTACGTACGTACATCAGTTCGAGTTGCCACACCACATTAGCACAGAGATGCAGTGGTCGATTCAAATCCCGTAGTGGTACAGGTAGCAAGAGTATAAGCAGTAATCGGGAAGATTAGGGTTTGGAGATGTTATTTATAGAGTATAATCCAGTGAAATAAATTTGGAAAGAGGAAAAAAGGGACATGAAGAATTCAGAAGATTAGAATTTGGGAGAACACAGAGAGTGGATGCACCTGCGCCATTGCAAACGATTTTGAGCCATGTCATTCAGGGTCTCTAACCATCGGTTGCTATCATCTCGCGGTCCCCAACCAGGTAGTCTACACCTACCAACATAGCTCAGTTCACTTGTCAGTGACTTCATGGATTTGTGCCATGTTTTGGTTTGGCCGCCCCTAGCTTTCTTCCAACCTACTCCTATACCACTGAACATCGCACGTCGAGGCAGTCGGTCGTTGTGCATACGTAACACGTGTCCCAGCCATCTCAACTGATGGAGTTTCACTACTTCATCAATTGATTTGCCATCCTTACCTAGTACCCGTTTCCTAACAACTGTGTTACTTACTCGATGGTCCCATGATATACGAGCAATGTTTCGAAGACACCTATGATCAAATACTAGTAACCTACGGATATCCTCTACTCTTACCGGCCATGTTTCACTGCCATAAAGTAGGACGGAACGAACTGCTGCGCAGTAAACACGTCCTTTGGTTGATAGACGGATATCTCGCCTACGCCATAAATGACGCAAGTTGGCAAAAGCTAGTCGAGCCTTCTGTATCCGTGCTGAGATTTCGTCACACACCAGACCACAAGGGCTGATGAGACTTCCAAGATAAGTGAAGCGGTCGACACACTCAACTACTTCACTCCCTATCACTAGTTCGGGTGTCGATGTAACCCAATCCTGAAGCAACATTTTGCATTTCGAGGGAGAGAATCGCATCCCGAACATGCTTGCATTGTTGCTTAGAGTGGTCAGAAGACTCTGCATTTTGTCAGCGTCTTCACCAAATAAAACTATGTCATCTGCATATTCTAAGTCAACAAGTGAACCTCCTGGTAGAAGTTCAACCCCTGGAAATTTAGATGAGGAAGTGTTATCTCTAAAAGTACGTCAACGACAAAGTTGAACAAGAATGGGAGAGTGGGCAGCCCTGACGAACACCACTTGAGGTGATCAATTCTGATGACAGTTCGCCATAAGCTCTCACTCTACCAGTTGTGTTCGAGTAGAGAGCCTTTATAAGGTTAATGTACTTCTTTGGTACTCCTTTCAGTGACAAACACTGCCATAGAACCTCACGATCAATAGAGTCGAATGCCGCCTTAAGGTCGAGAAATACTACCATTGTGGGGCGTCTGAATGTGTGTCTGTGTTCTAGAACCTGACGTAGTGTGAATATCTGATCTATACAACCACGTCCAGGTCGAAAACCAGCCTGGTTTTCTCTAGTCTGCTCTTCACGAGCTTTAGTTAGGCGTCGAAGTATTATAGAAGCTAATATTTTAGACACTATATTAGTCAAACTGATTCCTCTGTGATTGTCACAAGAGGACTTTTGTCCTTTCTTAAAAACTGGCACAATCAGTGATTGAGACCAATCAGATGGGATTACGTCCAGTTCCCAAATTCTACCTAAGACCTCGGTTAATCTCATTGCTAATACTGGACCACCATCCTTAAAAATTTCAGGAGTAAACCTGTCAGGGCCTGCTGCTCTCCCTCGTTTCAGATTTCCTATGGCTTTTTCAACTTCGTAAAGGGACGGAGGACCTACATTAACTTGCCATTCAGGTTGACTGGAGATCGTGGGAAACCGAAGTGTGGCTGAAGGCCAGTTGAACTGATCCATAAAGTGTTCTGCCCATCGATCCAATCTCCTGGATTGAGAATGAATAATATGTCCATCTTTCTCTGAGATTGTTTCGCTAACGGTCGGGTTCCTAATTCCGGTTTCCTTAACGAGTCTAAACAATTGTCTGCTATTACCTATTGCCGCTGCCTTTTCCATCTCTCTTGCTTTTGCTACCCACCACTGTTCGCGATCATTGCGTAGACTTCTTGTCAGCTTGCGCTTAAGCTGACTCCGCTCTTCACTATGTTCAGAGCCAGGTGGAATGTGTTTCCGAGCATTTATCAGTGAGATAGATGCTGCTGAGATCCAGTGTTGCTCCCTAACCTTCTGGTTTACCTTACTAGCAGATATCACTGCTGTTTCCACAGCTTTTCGGATATCATTCCATGCTGCCTCGGGGTGGGCATCACATACATGGCTGCCTAACTGTTTTCCTAGTTGTTCCTGAAATACACTCTTAGCTTGACTATCATTAAGTAGGGCCCTAAGAGGTTTCCTTGCAGCATCTTTCCTACGTCCAGTAAGACGCAAGCAAATACGCGCTCGCACTAGAGCATGATCTGAATCTAGGCATGTGCTCCAGAATGAGCGACAGTCTTCTATCGAGCCCCTCCACCGGTGGCTGATAGCGATGTGATCTATTTGGGTCCAACGTTGGGACGAATTAGGGGGTCGCCATGTTAAAAGATGTTTTTCCTTATGCTTAAAGTTAGTATTCACAAGAAAAAGGCGGTTATCTGAGCATAGCTGCAACAGACGGTCGCCATTATCTGTTCTTTGAGCCACGACACCATAGGATCCACCTAGGTGTCTTTCCCTATCGCTTAGTTTACCTACTTGAGCATTAAAGTCACCGGCCACTATTACTACATCCGAGCGCTTAGCTTTTCGGAGAAGGTCCGAAAGCTTTCTGTAAAACTCATCTTTTACATCATCTGAGCTGCAGTCAGTGGGAGAATAGGCAGAGACGACGAAGAGGCAACGACGAGTGTCCCTATCTTTCCGGATTCTTACTGTTCCGTCCAGTCGGACAGCGCACAAACGACTGTTTACTGGGATCCACTCTAAGAGAGCTAGTTCTGCCCTAGGACTCAATGCTATACCTACGCCGGCGAGGCCACGGGAAGCAGAATCAGGGCTTCCAGATACACGAAGCGTAAATCGAGTCGGTTCTTTATCCTGGCATGGTGAGGTCAAATGAATGACGCTACTCGGATCCTGTATGCGCGTTTCGGAGACGCAGCACACATCGATGGCGCGAGATTCTAAAGTTTTAGCTAAGGAAGCCTGTTGTCCTATTTGGCAAAGTGTTCGGACGTTAAAAGCTCCTACGTGTAGTTTAGAGCGTGGTTTCAGGAGAACAGGAATGGCGTTCCACGTACTCGAATCGTTTGCCCTAGCGGTGCGAGGTGATAAAGAGACGTGAGGAGGGTTAGTCGGGAGGATAAGAGAGGTATTAGGAGGTGTAGGAAGGATTTGAATGTGACCACCTTGGTCTCTTGTGCTGTTACGGGTATGAGGGCTGATGTCACTTCCCGGCTGCCCACACCGTGGAAGGGTATTTCTTGAGGAACCTGAAAAGGAAATTGGATTAGTGTTGGTCTTAACGGCCTGGGAGCGTGACCGCAGAGCCCAAGGGACAACTGCTTGAGGCCGGTCGCGCACGGCCTTTTTGTGGAAGGTTTTTGACGTGTTAGCTCCGTTCTTCAAGGGGCCTTACCGCCGGAGACGGAAATCCGTGAGGTAAGGTGAGGTGTGACATTTTTAGGGTCGACCTTTTCTAACCCCACCCCTCCTTGTGGGAAGGCAGCATCGCTGTCATGCTGGTTGTCCGAGGGAAACACCTTACTGCTGTCACACCTCTCTACAGTCAGCAGTACGACTTCGCCCTCAGACCTTAAGTTGCTGCTTTTAGTCTTACCGTTCGCCAATCGACCTGCCTGGCATGGTAGAACCTGCAGGAACATATGTTCCAGCCAATATAGCTCGGTTGGGTCATCACGATAGGCAAGCCCGACCACCGCGTCAAGGTAGCAGCTTCGATCGGGATAATTGTGGGTTACCAAAGGGGCAGAATAGTTTGGTTACTTTTGCGGAATGTATGGGTGACTTAAGAACTTGTTGAAAGTAGTGAGATCAGCTCCCTTCTTTCTCTATATTCAAATAGAAAGTACTAACTCGAGCAATCGTGCATTTCACATCCTAAACGTACAACTCCTTTTATTATGTCCGTAAAATATTTCCACTTTAGAAAAATGATATTGCTGCCCCCTTACCATCGCTACTTGACTCGGGAATCAATACTTATCACTAGGACGTGGGCGTTAGAAACAAAATGGTTTACATAAGTTTTATTAAGACGTTTCTATCATTATTCTTGTTCCAAAAATAAACATTTAAAAATGTCATCAGTCAAAGGTATCTCTAACCCAACTATCACCAAAAATGTAGTAATTAATTACCATATGCGTAAGCTTATTAAAAGTGTTTCCTGATACATCCATGATGTAAACTCGCGAGGACCGAATAAAATAAGAATGGAAAAATTAAGGCGAACTCTCGAAAAATGTATGTGACATCGCAAACTAAGTTGTTTAAACAACTTAGTTATCGCCAATTGGTATCTTTTGAGGTTATATTTTCACAGAAATGTCTATTTTCAGTCTGGCTTCATAGGAACTTCAAGCATCGCCTACACTCATGACGTACAGTTCACCTTTGCTCTGAATAACCCGGAAATTAAACTTTATTTCATAATAAATATTGACATCAGTCTTCGAGGACTGGAAAAGAAGACAAGAAAAGGTGAGTCGATGACCCAGTTAACGCACGTGATGCACTCACTCTTATTTAGGAAAATAATAAGCAACAATCAGTGACAACAGAAGTCTCAGATTATGGCAATCTTGAAAACTATTGAAACAGTGACAAGAAACTGCTAAATAGATACTGAGACATACAAACAAAATCCTAGACATGTACAAGTGTGAAATATTAAGAAATATGCTCAAGAGAAATTTGAAGATAGAAATACAAGCTCTCTACAGAGCAATTCAACATTTAAGTTTCCAAAGTTCCATGAAGATATGCAAAAACAAAGTTACTCAGGTTTTTAACCAAACAAACCCCGCGCTATTTAAAAAGGACAGTGGTATTTTTCCTCGCTGAGTAAATTTTATTGTTTTGATCGTTTATTACGTATCAAGACTACTGTTTTTCACTTTAATTGAATTTATTTCAGTTAAAGTATTCGACTAAAGTATCGTTTTTACTGTTTTGTCGTTGGTACTCTTTAGTACCACTTTTTCAACTGTATCTGTTAGTACTTTTGGTCCTAGCAATCTACAGCTCTTCACTTTTTTGGTCATTGATAATTTTTTTTGTTTCTGAGTATCATCGCATATTGAAAAAACCCCTCCTAAATGACCGGACAGTGTAAAAAAAGCAGTTGCCAACGTCCGGGTTGTCGTTATCCTGTTGAAAGCGGCATGCAGTGCGACGAGTGCAAAGGCTGGTACCACGAAGTTTGCACGAACTTAACGCCTGCTGCTTTCAAACGGTTCAGTAAGAAGGGTTGTGTGTGGCTTTGTCAACAGTGCTGCTCGGATGCAAACAGCTTGTTAACCGAGGCTATCTCACTGGTTGATGCTGCCAAGAAGTGTTTCAACAAGCATAGTCGGAACGCGTCAAACAGCACTCGATCTGTTGACACGCAAATCAATCTGAAGGAAACTAAGGTGAGTCCGGTGATAGATGACTCACGCCCGTCGAAGAAGGAAAAGCAGTATCCAAAGGAGTCTGCCTTAAAAAAAAGCTCAAGAAAAGCAGGGTCTTCTGTTCCCCGTCTCCCAGATGGGATCCAACAGGAAACACCTAGGAGCCGCAATCGCAAGGCTCGATCGGTTTCGAATGGTAAACATAACACGACCCCTCAGGTCGTCGAAAACCCCCCAAAACCCAACACTAGTTTTGACGCAACTGCTACTGCTTCTACCAGCAGCGTTAACGAATGGGTAAAGGTTGTAGGGAAGAAAAGTATTGACATAAAAGGGAAACCTGCCCCCGTAAAAGTGGTTGAAAAACCGAAAGCTGATCATAGCGACAGATCAGCTATTTTTCATAGAATTAAGGAGAGCGATAGCTCTGAACCTAAAGCTCGTTTTGAGCATGACATTGTACTGATTAGGCAGCTGCTTAATCAACTCATGCCTCAAAATATGACTGGGGTCACCTTGCTAAAGGTGTATAGACTAGGGAGTCTAACGGACTCGAAACCAAATCATTCCAGACTGCTTAAAGTAGTATTCGGCTCTTCAAACGAACGTGACCTAATTTTACAAAATGGACACAAATTAAAGGGTTCGGGAGTCTTTATCCGAAAGGACCTACCGTTGGCAGACCGTGTTAAAAGACGGGAAGCCGAGAAAGAACTACAACATAGGTTAGACGCTGGCGAAAAGGACCTGAAAATTGTAAATTTTCGGGTTGTAAGACTTCGACAGAGAATGATGCCGAAGCCAGTCTGGGTGAAGCACGAAGGCACCTAAACAGGCTTCGGATCTGTTACACCAATGCACGAAGCTTACTTAATAAGCGATCGGAACTAGGTGTACAGATTGACTCTATAAAGCCAGATATAATCGCAGTAACAGAAACCTGGCTGACACAGGCTATAGATAGTATAGAAATTGATTTCGAGGGCTTTACGTTAGTAAGGGCCGACAGAACACAAAAGCGCAAAGGAGGGGGAGTAGCTCTATTCATTAGGAATGCTATCCCATTTACCATTATCGATAGTGTATCCCATGAGAGTGGGACATGCGAATTAGTTAGTCTTCGCCTAAAATGCAAGGGACAAGAGCTGCTGATTGGTTTGGTCTATCGCAGTCCAAGCTGTGAGGCAAATGAGATCCTGTTAAGCAGTCTCAATACTTGGTCCCAAAGTGGTCGATGTCTAATCCTAGGGGACTTTAATGCACCAATGGTAGACTGGGAAAATCTGCGAACTGAATCGTCAGAAAATTCCTTTGAGCAGGAACTAGTTGATGCGGTTATCACATGTGCCCTAGTGCAACATGTGAAAGAAGCGACTAGGTACGACCCGGACACTGAATCATCCTTATTAGATCTTATACTGACTCACTATGAGGATGATGTTGCGAACCTCCACCATATGCCACCCTTAGGTAAAAGTGACCACGCAGTTTTAACTTTCGACTTCCATATAACTGCCAGTCATGAGGACGCGTCAGTCCAGTCCAGACCCAACGTCTGGAAAGCAAACATACCAGACATCATGCACTCAGCATCGTTAATAGATTGGACAATAGACCCAGAGTCCTCCATTGAAACGGCCTGGAACACATTTCGAAAATCATACTTAAAAGTTACCACACCTCACATCCCTTGGACTATACCAAAGGGGCCGAAAAACTCACCACCATGGTTCAGTAGGGAGGTCCGTATCCTTCTCCGTAAGAAAAGGAAAACGTGGGATAGATTTAGGTTACTGGGGACTGATGAGTCAAAATCTCAGTATCGAAAGGCTCGGAACACTTGTGCCTCGACCCTCCGTAAGTCTAGAAAATTGTACGAAGAAAAACTTGTTAAGGAATCCATAGAATGTCCTAAACGCTTGTATTCCTATATAAACCAAAGGACAAGGAGAAAAGGAAATATTCCTGCTCTATGGGAAGACAGTACTGCTTCATCATTAGTGGAGGACGACTTTGGTAAGGCTCAAGCGTTCTCGAACTACTTTAGCAACGTGTATACCATAGAAGCGCCCTTCCCGTCAGCGTATACAGATCCCCCCATACATACACTGGATAGCGTGACCATTAAAGAACTCGATGTCTTTGGTCTGCTAAATAAGCTTGACGTAGGTAAATCCACGGGGCCCGATGAATTACATCCTAGGCTACTGAAGGAATTATCTAACTTCGTTGCGAACCCTTTAAGTACATGCTTTAACCTATCCGTTACGCAGGGTCGCTTACCGAAAGATTGGAAAAACGCCATAGTAAGTCCTGTCTTCAAAGCAGGCACGAAACACAAACCTGAGAACTACCGCCCCGTTAGCCTAACTAGTGTGGTTGTTAAAATATTAGAAAAGATTATTCGGAAGGAGCTGTTTAAGTATCTCGATAAAAACCGTATCCTCTCGGAGAAGCAGCATGGCTTCAGAATAGGTTATTCTTGTCTCACTAACTTATTAGTGGCTCGTGAAAGCTGGTGTGCTCTTAAGGACCAAAAGCTACCTGTAGACGTCGCCTTCATTGATTTCAGTAAAGCTTTTGATAAAGTTCCGCACAACCGGCTGTTATACAAGTTAAGACATGTCGGGATTGGAGGTAATTTATTGATGTGGATAAAAGACTTCTTAGTTGGGCGTCAACAAAGAGTAAGGGTGAACTCAAAGTTATCTAGCTGGGAAACTGTGCTTAGTGGAGTGCCCCAGGGTACAGTTTTGGGGCCAGTGTTATTCCTCTTGTATGTAAATGATCTTCCTTGTCTCCTATCATCATCGGTCTTGCTATATGCTGACGATGTCAAGATATGGAGAACGATACGATGTAAGAGTGATAGCTTAGAACTTCAAAATGACCTGAAGAAGTTATCTGAATGGTCTCAAACATGGCAGTTGCCGATAAATACTTCCAAGTGTGTTGTGATGCATATCGGTCATCAAGGCACAGATACATACACGATGAATAACACTGAGCTACCTGTCGTCCAGACATATAATGACTTAGGAGTTATCGTTAGTCAAGACTTAAAAACTACTGCACACTGCCGTGCAATAGCCGCCAAAAGTTTTAGAACGTTATGGTCAATACGTAGGGCTTTTAGTCATGTCGACACTAAGACGTTTTTGACTTTGTATACAGTGTTCGTTCGTCCTAAACTTGAGTACTGCATACAAGCGGCTAGCCCCTGCTTTAAAAAAGACAGAGAGCTTCTGGAAAAGGTTCAGAGAATGGCGACTAAACTGGTTCCCGCAATAGCGAAGCTTCCGTATGAATCTCGACTGGCCAAGCTGAACCTTTTCCCGTTGTCATATCGCAGAACTAGAGGCGACTTGATTACAGTCTACAAATTGCTTAGTGATAAATTTGCACCTAACATGCCCTCATTTTTCTTGTCTTCCAAAACAGACAATTTACGAGGACACTCCAAAAAAGTTCATAAGCCGAGAACAAATTACTTGTCAGCTGACTATCGACTTTCCCATCGAATCATCAACGAGTGGAATTCACTACCTCAGCACGTGGTTGAGGCTCCATCCGTCGACTCTTTCAAAAGAAGGTTGGATCAACTGAGAGACCACCATTGCCAGGACTAACATAGGCCATCGAGCCTCCTGTCCTTCCCAAACTGAAACTGAAACTGAAACTGAAATATTCACAGTAAACCTTATTACCTATTTCATTTATTTTTTCGAGCATGTAAACGCATTGTAACTGATATCGAATTCCTTCAGTGATTTGTACTAATTCTCGAACGTAGGTTTAATGCATATGAATAGATTTTTAATACTCATTCATACAAACAGCTATTAGTGTCGTATGGAGACTGTTTTAATATTGATCTGAGAGAAACTTTGTAATCTCATAAATCTGACCTTCATTATTCTGCTCTGACGCTTATAAAACGCCTAGGTCATCCATTTAAATATACAAAGTGGATCCATTGCATGATGTATATTTGAAAGCCGAACAAATTGTATGAAACAATTCTTCAAATATCGTTTCCACCTTCACTTGATTCGTTTCTTTCCAGTCCTGTAAGCCTGTGTCAAACTTCATATACCCGCAATAAGTCCATGGTTCCTTCGAAGTTAATTTGGACTTGAAATGTCCCAGATTTTTACATTGAGGTAAGAATCAAGCATATATGTTTGACTGTAGGATTGAGTTCTCCTACAGATGGCTCATGAGTATATATTCTTGAATC